AGCCATTACGAATCGCGTCAACCCCAACCAAAACAGTGTGAAATTCACAAAAACAGTATTTCAGCAGTGATCTGAACATTTACCCAGCAACTCCACTATAACTACTGCCAGACGTAAAATACTCAAATCATAGTTGTGTTAGTTTGGATCCGTATTACTTAATTCCCGTAGTGAGTTTTCGTTCTGATACGAAGTTAACGGACCGCAACGTCACCAGCCAGCATACATTCCTCGGTGTAGATATGAACTTTATTTTGTCATGGTCTTTCCTGTAGTAGAAAGTGAAAGTATTTCACTGCGAGATTATTCCGCATCGTATGCTACAGTGAAAAGACTCGTAGTATGGAGGCCTGGGTAATTGAATTTTTAATCGTTATCTCGGAATAACATCATGCACCATGACATGGAAGACAGTACTTGGCGACGGATTGGCAGGATGGGGCGAGTAGGGAGCGAACCCATCATAAACGTCAACACTGCAGTACCTGTATCGGTATCTAGTAGAAGTCTGTTGAGCGTGCATTCATTGGGGTTGGGACTGCTGCACCACTGCTCATGTATACGTCCGTGGGTCAACACAGAATCCCCTGACCATCCAGGGAATGGTGATAGGTGGATGTGGTATGCAGTAGATACAATATCTGGGCCCTTCTCACGCCCTATTTAGATAGTCTTTCTATAAAGCAGCTGCAAGTATGACACGCAAGGATCATACACTTTCATGCTAGAAAGAAACCTCAGAAACAATATTTATGTGAACTTCATTATAAACAAACCCCTTTCATCAGATGAAGCTAGCCTGAGATTAGCCCTTCCCCTTCCCTTTGCAACGTCTGCTTATATGTAGGAACTGTAATGGTAGTGCTCGGAATTTGGACCATTTCGCGAAGAAATCGTTATGTCCTGTTTGTTGCTTTTAGACTTCAACGATTCAACCGACGTTGGTCCGTCGGTTTGCAATATCAAGATGACAATATATAGATGACAAGAAGGTCAACACCANAGAAAGAAACCTCAGAAACAATATTTATGTGAACTTCATTATAAACAAACCCCTTTCATCAGATGAAGCTAGCCTGAGAGTAGCCCTTCCCCTTCTCTTTGCGACGGTCTGCTTATATGCAGGAACTGTAATGGTAGTGCTCGGAATTTGGACCATTTCGCGAAGAAATCGTTATGTCCTGTTTGTTGCTTTTAGACTTCAACGATTCAACCGACGTTGGTCCGTCGCTTGCGTGCCGCGACGGACGGCGACGTAAGACGGTTGAACCGTTGAAGTTTGAAAGCAACCTTTCAGTTTGCAATATCAAGATGACAATATATAGATGACAAGAAGGTCAACACCAAGTTTGATAGAAGCTTTTACTTAAAATCCTTTACTACATAATAAATTAAACATAACATGAGACGCAAAACACCGTATAACTGAGATTGACATCGAAGTACACAACACCGTAAAAGTACCACAGAGGAAGGCTGCAAAAAACAACACCCCAGAACAGCCACATGTATTTAAAGATCTTTACGTAAAAGAAGCCGATTTAGATACTACCATAAGAACCATTCTTTTATAATCTGCTACCTGGTGCTCCAAAGAGCTGAGCAGCGCTTTTAATTCAATATTGCGTCGTTCCAGCACTTCCTTCTGAACTCGCATCTCTCGCATTTTCTCTGCTCGTTTTTGACGAGAACGTTGCGATGCGAGATTATTCTTGTCGCGCCTTTTTCTATACTCATTGAAGGCGTCAGTGGCTGAGTCGGAAGAGAATGGTGAATAGTGCGGCACAGTTGAGTGGACGGAACCTCAAAAAAGAAGCATACAAAAACAATGAAATATACTCACTTTTCAAAAGCACCTTGTAGGAAACGAAGAAACATACCACTGGAATGATTGCGATGTCGTGTAGGTGTCGGAGTGGTTGAAACAGTTAATGTTTCACAAAGATCAGGGAAGAACTCTTCAACAGGATCTGTACTGGAAGGTGACAAATTCTCGCAAGCGGAAGAATGGGTACCACTTTCGGATAATTGATGTGGGACTGTAAAATCGTTGACACTAGTGGTGATGCAGGGTGTGCTGTGGAGATACGTATCCAGCATAGTGATATCGCAGTCCAATGCTGCGGTAATATCGTTAAGATCAACTGGGTAGCCGTCGCTCGGCGAGTGGAGGGCGTAGATGTCGTGCGAGTACGGTGGAGTTTCAGCGAGTCCAAAATCGTTATGCGACAAGTCTACTTCTTCAAACTGTAGCTCGGTTCCCGGAACGTAGCTCAACGTTGCACTGTCTGAAAGTAAAGACAAGAAGAAGATTGCCATAACATCTATTGTCTAATTCAAATCGCCCCAAATAATTATGAAGGCTCTAGTTTTAGGAAAAGGCATTTCTTCGTCGTTGGTAGCGATGTATCTCAAACCAATTAAATCTACAAATGTCGGCCGCTGATTTTGCCAACTTTTGCCGACATTCCCTGTGAGACCTCAGCTGGCACGATGCCTCACTTTAGTCTCAGACCTTGGAATTGCACGTAGTAGTACACCTCAGCTAACCGAAAGCACCCAATTCTTGAATCAATAATGTTGAAAAAAGGGAAACGGGCAACTGGATTGCTCAGGGCGGCCACCTTTCCGCATTTCAGCCCATTTTGATAACTCGCCATAGCCCCTTTTATCGAGGAAAATTAGACGGTGAAGTATGGCCGATTAGACCAAAGAAAATGGGTAAGAATCAGGAGCACCTCTCCTAGTACAATCCAAGTAATAGGCCCTTGAATGAAAAATTGAATTGGACGTTGAACTAAATTTAGTACGATGATGATTCATTATACAGGCAACGTGTTATATGGCATTGGATGTGTTCCTTTCCACCTTCAGCCTACTGGATCATATCCCCTAATCCAGAAGAGACTGACCCCTAACTATCCAACAGTGCCAATCCGGAAAGGGAAGGAACAAGCCAAAACACGAATAAGTCAGAGATTGTGACAATTAATAAAAAAGTCAATCGCCCAACCCGAAACTGCCTAGTGTGAACGTATAAATATGGTAGCCAAGTCCATTAAGCTAAAGACCAGAGAGCTCGCCAAAGACTGCCATCTAGGAGGCAAGCGGTGCTACATCTGCTTTTATCCACCTAAGACAAGACCAACAGCAAATGTTAGCAAACGTTGGCAAAATGCTATGGCCGGGACCTGTAGATCCGATTAGCTTAATTTACTTATCTACAATATTGTCCGTAAAGCATTTTGAATCGTCAAAATATTTGTGAGTTAGAAGCTAGAAATCACCCATAGATGTGTGGAAAAAAACTGAAGTTATTACAAAATAATTCATCCTATCTAACATACCGATCATCTTCGACTTGCGATCTGAACAACAACTCGTCGCTATCATATTCGTCGAATGCACAATTAAATCGACACTTGACTGGTCTGTCAAATGGTCGCCGTGACGGGAAGAACTACAAGAGTGAGTTACAATAATTTTACCCAATACATGAGATACACTTACTTTTGCCAGTCGTACATAAGACTTGGCGCTTCTTCCAAATGCACATTTGCCACAGATCCTCGTGTTGGAGTTGTTGTCTGCGGCCCTGACAAAAAGGCGTCGGGTACTGCATCGTGACAACAACTCGCCCGAGGATAGGTGCTTTCTTGAGACCGTGTTGAACATTGTAACGAGCAAAAGACGAAAGGATCTTCCTCCTGCTCAAGTGACAATACGCGTGCTTGTTACCAAGCGAGACGAAGCGCCTGAAATGGAAACCACTAGTAACTTCATGGAAAAACGATCTCTTCAACATCGAGACACTGCTGATTAAATTATCAAGGTTCACTGAAACCACACCAAATACTCCACACCAAACAAGAACAACTGGCAGGGAGGTGTGCAGGACCTACCGAGAGCTCGAAGTAAATGCATAAACTGAGTCACCGGGACAATGTATTTTCGTGCCAAGCCACACCGCAGTACCGAAACTAGGAGAGCACGCCTCGACAGTCGTATCAAGACGCTTCGCATTAACACGGTTGTCCAAGTTTTACAACGCTCGACAAGAGCCTCCGCGCTGTGCGATATATTTCCGACGTTCGCAGACCGAGTCCTAACCAAGAAAATCTCGGATATCCAGCACAACAATCTAGAGATAACTAACACAACCCTGGACCTTCAAGAAAGGTTCGTACCAGAACAACAGAACTTGCACGTGAGGGATATTTGGACAAGCCGTTCAGATATCCTCCTGCCATCCTGGTACGAAAGGAGCAAATCCTACAGCTTCAACACCTCTGGGTGATTTCCGACTTCACCGACGTGCATTACTTCACCGACCAAGCAAACGAGAAACGGCCTTGCTAGCCACGTTTTGACAACGCAGTACAAATTGCCTTCAGGGCTATCAACATGTCTGGACATCGATCGATATTGCTCACGCGATCCTAAGCAATCTGTCCTGCACAATCCAAGGCCGTCGAGCGGCCAGTCAGTCGGTCGGTGGAATTATTGCTCGTCGTTGAAATTTGAGAGTACGCTCTGATAACCCTTACGTAAAAGCATGTCGTTTTCCAAGCGGTCCACAAATCTGCTAACGGCAGCGGGGATGTCCAGTACAGGCTGCTGCTTTCAGATTCCAACGATTCAACCATCGTGCGTCCATCAGTTAGCGCGTAAGTCCGTGCGTGCGTCCGTCCTTAGCGTGCGTCCGAGTGACGGCGGCGCTAGCCACTTGATGACAGCATGGGATGCCGATGGATCACGTGCCAGTATTGTAAACAAGTGGCCGCACGCACGGACGCACACCGGTTGAATCGCTTAAGTCTGAAAGCAGCCACAGAAACCACGAGTGGCTGCTTTCGTAATCCGCCGGCCGACCGGCGTTCCGGCGTGCCAGGTTAACAGTGCTAGGAGGGGGAGGTAGGCAGATGGGCGGTCGACGCCGTCGCGTCGCGCCCAAGCCCCTTCAAAGGGCTGAGAACAAAGAAAAACAAGTTCAAAAACCATTTGCAACAGCCCCTTCGAAGGGCAAACGCAAATGATATTTGATCTTGTTTTTCTTTGTTTTCTTCAGCCCTTCGAGAGAACTTGGGCACGACGCGACGGCGCCCACCAACCGTCTGCCTCTATGAAAGCAGCCTGTCCAATGTGCTGTCAACGACCACTTCCAGTGCTATGGACTTGTGCCTAGCAACGATGCATTTCCACGGCGTGGCTCGCACGCTATTTCTACCACCCCCCAGCTATCTACCCATCGTCGTGTATGCGGCGAGTGAGGATTTGTGCATTCATATAAGGTTAGGACGCGAAAGGAATAATATTGTCTAAAGATATTCAGAGTTCGAAACAGGCTTTTCGATACTTTCCGCTCTATGTGTCGCCATCCCGATTGACTAAGAGATCAACATGGAGTGATGAGTAAGCAATCAACATAGACGTAATAAGTGGTAGACAAAAGTGCGGGCGTAGCACGACAGACGAGCGCACCAGTACGTTTAACTTTGGCAGAGACGCGAAATGTGGTATCACCTGAGAGCAAGAGCGTCACAAGTTTTGCTTTGCAAAAAGCAATTACGCTGTGCAAGTGAAAGTGATTTAACCTTACCACTGCAAATTGGGAAGGCTGTGTTGTGCTGCAGCCACATTTGGAACAAGTACTTATCTTTAACCCCCTCAAAAACTATTAGAAACCAGTTTCTGTATCATCACCTGTACACTGGTAACGCGATAGCACTGTTACCGTAATGAATTGGAGTAACGACGGTTGAAAAAAAACCCTCTCAATTACAGCGTCCTAAAATAAAATCCGTTCGAAGAGTGGGACCACTAAGATGAACTCCTCCAACCTTCCCCCTGAATGTTTGAAGAAGATGACTTATTTGGCCGTTTCTTCAAACAAGGAAGGAAAGAAAAAAAATGAAAAAAGCAAAAGGGAAAAATATTAAAACACGGGACTTACGGGTAGGAGCACGAGTTCTGTTCCTAACTGGCTGCCTTTGACACGAGCTGCTTAGTGTAAGCCGATTGGGACCTCTCTGGTCCCGAAAACCTTAAATGATAATAAGACAGAAGTATTCGATTTATACAAGACGGGTTCGACTCATATACAACGACTACACGAGGTAACACTAATTGGTTAGCTGTCATGAGGATAAGTGTTCGGAATCCTGCTCAAGAAACATGTCAAGCCAATTGCCACTAATGCGGGAACTCGATAGAAGGCCATGAGAGGGGTGAACTGGAGTAACAGCTTACGAATTTTCAGTATATAGCTTAACATGAATATTGGGAGTGATAGTCCAGAACAAGGCAAACGTGGCGACAAAAAAATCGGCTTATTTAAAACCGTGGAGCACCAAAACAGCACCATGCGAATAAAGAAAAAGCTTGAGAGATAAGTGAAAAAGTCTTGGGAGACGGACACCTCTCCTATTTAACATTGGGCGCGAGAGTGCAAAGGATAGGTAGGCGACTTTGAGCTCACTTTGAGGCGGTTATTTGCTAGAAGTATTTAGTTTTCAACCCAAGCTTCAGACGAGGAGGAACTTCGTGTAAGTGAGACGATCACCTCAAGGATTGAACATTTAGTTGTCTCACCCAACTCCAGTACTTCAGCCGGGAGACGGGCATCGGGCACTGCAAGCATTGCAAGACAGATTCCTGTTCCCGATGAGTTTGTGACACACGTTTGACGGTTACTCGGGCNCTCACTTTGAGGCGGTTATTTGCTAGAAGTATTTAGTTTTCAACCCAAGCTTCAGACGAGGAGGAACTTCGTGCAAGTGAGACGATCACCTCAAGGATTGAACATTCAGTTGTCTCACCCAACTCCAGTACTTCAGCCGGGAGACGGGCATCGGGCACTGCAAGCATTGCAAGACAGATTCCTGCTCCCGATGAGTTTGTGACACACGTTTGACGGTTACTCGGGCGCGTTGTCCTTCACGATGTTGTACCTTACCAACAGGGTAACCAGCATGACACGGACAGTAGAATCACGATGGATTTTACCGCCCGTTCTTTAATGCATGCGACGTGCCTGAGAGACAGCTCTGGTTAGTGTATTGCAAATTTACCGGACGCTGACGGACGATCAAACTTGAGTTAACATCACTGCCCCGGTAACACATTGACTGATGAGGTATTGCGGCATGCTTTGCGAGAAATTCGAAGCACGAGTTTGGGTTAAGATTACAACAGCCGTAGGGGAGCAATAGTAAGTCAGGCCAACTGAACCAAACCTGCACTTCAGGTTCAAAAAGCATCACTATTGCCTACCGAGAGTAGAACGCCAGTACTACTGTCCCTGGCTATAGAAGAAGTTTCCTACCTACATAGAGATGTCGCCAATGAGTTCACCCCGAAAGCAGTACTAGGAGAACTACGATATCAAGCTGTGATGGGAAGAACAGCAACAGAAATGGGAGAAAAGCATCGACTGTCGAAGGCCCCGCCCTTATTGCACAACCTTCTGCAATCGCTTAAAGGACGCGAAAGCGAGTGTGCCGACGAGTAGAGACTGCCAAAAGAGAACACGAACAAGGAGGGTCTGGGATAGTGATGCAGAGGTGCTGAGTCATCGTAGGTCGATTCTACCCGGAGGTCCGATAAGGACGGTAATCCGACATGTGCCAGCTTGGCCTGCACGAAATGGGAAACATCGCAGTGAAAAGTCGAGAACGCGAGAACGGAATAGGATGCAAAAGGCACCCGAAGGGAAACCGTTGAAAACCGCAAACATCTAAAGCGGACTGATTTGGCTTTGGATGTTCGCGGCCGTGGCGAAGGAGAGTGGCGAGGGATGAGAGGGTGTACGACGTCCCTCCAGAAGGGCCATCATCGGCTCTCTTTTGAAAATAATGGGCTATATCTTGCTTCTTTTACTACACATGTGCTGTTCTGTAGCGGCAAATGTGAACAATAGAAAGTACGTCCGAAGCTCATGTTCGATTTCGCTTAGGTGAAATTATTTAAGTACAAGAATACGAGGAAGTACGTGCACCGGTGGTGCGGTCGTGGGAACAGAGCCGTGCCGCTGTGGGAATCATTCAAGCCGATACGCGAAAGTAATTACGCAGCCACAATATTTCACCTCGAAGGCAGAGTTCGCCAGTTGCTCATTCCGTCGCACTAGAGGAATATATATGACATAACACCTTCTCAAAGTCGGTAAATTTTTTTCACGAAAAACGAAAAAAAAGCTTTAACTTGTTCATCCGCTGGCGAGAGATCATGATTTTGATCATAAACAGAAGGTAGAGAAGATAGTTACGAGAGGGAAAACCCTAGAAAACCAAACAATCGTTCTTTTTGACTAAATGGGTCTAATCGTTTGTCCAAAAGTAGGAAGGTCTAAAGCTGGCAGTAGATGCCACCTACTTTTCTTTCTTTCTTGACTGGGATCTTTTGGTGTTCGAGTTTCTGGGAGTTGTTGCAAGTGGTCTAGCGTATTTAGTCGGGTAAGCCAGAAATCAATAGCTTTTAACTACTCTCAGGGCCTTGGAGAAACGTTGTCACCAGGGCGAAATGCTCACTGCTTCGCGCTAAACGCTCAAAGCTCTACTTTGGAAGCGCCCAGCTAGCACAACCATCCACTGGAGATTCTTCACTCATCCTTACTCACTGCGGCTCGGCCAAGCAGTGGTAACATTTACATGAACCAGCGAAAAACTGCTCATCTC